GGTTTGTGTTCTCTAAGTAGGTGTATGTAGGAAATAGAGGCAGACGTGTCTTTATTTCTCTTATTGCATGGGTTGAGGCAAGATGTCAAGTGATGTAGTTGTGGCCTCACACCTTTCAGTTCCTTCATTTTGGCTAGGATTTTCTCCACACGCCTTCCGAAACTGGAAAATAAACAGCTGTAACAATCTCATAAGTAAAGCCTCCTAAGACCTAAAGATAGGACAAGAGTAATGGCTTTAAACTGAAAGAGGGTAGGTTTAGATTAGATAAGAAAGAAATTCTTCACTATGAGGGTGGTGAGGCACTGGAACAGGTTCCCATCCCTTGAAGTTTCAAGACCAGATTGGACTGGGCTCTGAACAACCTGCTCTAGTGGAAGGTGTCCCTGCTAATGGCAGGGTGACTGGAACTAGATTATCTTAAGGGTCTCTTACACAAGGGTCTCTTGCACAAACCATTCTATGATTCTAAGTAGTGCTGAGACCTTCAGGGAGATGAGAAGAGTGTTTCTGGTTTGTTTCACCACACTATTGACCACCAGAAGAAGGGGTTAGCATGACTAACACTTCTCCTTTGTCATCAGTCCCCCGCTTCAAACAATACTGAGAAAGTACTTTTCCCAGCATTCCTAAATATCTGCACCATTTACAGCCTCTACTAACACACTGCTTACATATTTTCTACAAAGCTTATGATTAAAGTAAAAAAAAACCCCAAACTTACATAATACTGTCCAGTGCACAAAGACTATAGAGCTTGTGCAAGCAGATGGATACACATGATGGGTGGGAATAGAGGACTCAGCCAGTTTTTTGTGAAATATTGCTCACTGAGCTTTGTTCAGTGTGTTCATGCAGCTCGGTAATGTGCAGGTATGGACTGATCCAGCTGATGGCTAAAGTGGTGCTTTTTTCCAGCCATCTCATCCCCACCTTGGCAGGCATAGCTGAGGTGATGGCTGGATAGGCTGAGCAGGCAGACCAGGTTGACCATCCGAAATGATGCACATGCCTCACTAATGGATTTAACCAAGGTTGAGTACACTAGAAGACTTGGTGATAGTGCAGGTTACAGCTTGGTCTGTTGAGCTTGTTGCTGATCCCAGTTCACACCTCCTGGTCAGCTGATTGGAGGGCCTCAGAACTAAATACATCCTACAGGTGGAGGGGCAGGGACGAAGGCTACACCACTTAGTATTCAAGTTGCTGTGCCTAATTCAATCTGAATGCCACAGTAATACAGGCAGGAGTCCGCATTTTTAAATCCTTACACATAAGTTTACATAAGGAGAATGTATCCAAAGCCCAAACTTTCCGCAGACAGGATTTTAGAGCTAACCAGCTCAGTCATTCTTACTCACAGTTACAGGTGATATTCTGAATAGCGTATGCCATGCCAAAATACAACTGAAATCCTCTTTGAATGCAAGCAGACCACAGCTTTAGCAGCAGCTGTGAGATGGAGACTTACTGTTAATGGCAGATTCAAGTAGCATGAACAATAATGAGGCTCTGTTAAAGGCGGACAGAGCTTGTCTGCATTAGAACTGGACCTTGAGAACCTGCGTTAATTAACACAGTTTTAAGTGGTGTCAGCTGTTTCTGAGTAAACCTATTGATTAAGTCTTATAAGAATATGGATTTAGAAAGACAGTTATTATCAATAGGTGGGGGTTTAACTTTTTCAATCTCAAAATCTTTTAAAAGTTGTGAAATATTTTAATGGACTGACAAGATTATTGCATTTGATAATAATGTTTTTTGGAAAGCATAAAGAAGAAATCAGTTTTGAATGCAATAGTTTTATGTTCATTTCCAGAAGTTCTTAACCTAGTTCCAGACAACACAATTTCTTATGCACATTTTTTACTCCCATTAAGCAGTCTTATTGAGCCAGAGGAGTTTAATCAGGTATAACCATGTTTATAAAATTAGTTTCTTACTTTAGATATTATTTATAAATCAGGGCTTTATATGCTTATTTATTTATAAATCAGTATCTCAAAATGCATAGATTTGTGTACAAGGATAATCATGTAAGGTACCCTAAATGTCATCCTAAGGCCAGGGTGCTGGTTACATTAGAGGGATATGGAACATGATGAAGTCCATGGATGTTCATGACAAAGTCATGGCTGCAGCTTGCCTTGCGGTGGGAGGACCTCTCACCACTGCTTCAATGGGTTGGTCTTCTGTCTGAGGCAGAGGCTGGGCTGTCACTTGTCTTGATGGTGAGAGCAAAGATCATATTTTAGTAGTTATATTAAAATTAAAAGGTGAGACTTTAATTGTATTATTCCATACTTCTTCCCAGAGGGAGCAGCTGCACAGTGTGGCATAATTTAATAAAGCTATCCATCATGTGATGCCTGGATGTGAAAAACTTGCCAGGTCGTACTGTAAGACACAACTCCGTAGTCCTTGTTTTGTCACTAAAGGCACAACAGAACTACTATAAATACGCCTAGGCTTTAGCAAATGTTTGTACATTGATCTAAAGTTAAAATATTGACAAACCTTTCTTTTGACTAGGAATTGAGAAATTTTCTGGCCAGAACAAGTTATCTAGTTTTACATTACAAATGTATTTGCCTACTCCTTCCCTACTACAGACATCCAGCCTAAAGAATAAAGGGCAGAATGCATGTCCAGTAAAAGTTGGTCACACGAGGTGGGGTGCCTGTGTATTGAACAAATTAAGTACCCTTCATGTGGGGAGGGCGTTTGTTCAGCAGAAGCTACAGGGCTGATGGTTGGCTTCTGTCCCTAGTGCATAATGCAGTAAGCAGATCTCAATAGTACCTAGCATGTACGATGTAGCTCTAGCACACTGGCTTTACTTAAGGCTGCCTGATGGCTTCTCCATGCTTATGACATTGGTTTATATTTTCAGACTTTTTACCTCGAACCACATCCTTTTTTAATTTTAAGATAAAACAAAAAAATTATTTCCTTCCCCTCACCCAGCTACAGGAATAAAGGTTAAAAGTCACATACTTTTGATTCTCTTTCTCTAAAGCTGCCATGTTACCATGTCTAGGAAGCAGAAGGTCCTTGATGATGTGGAACAGCTCACATGTTGCACATTCCCCTCCTTCCTCACGTTACCTGTATCTTTCCACGGGCATCTCATGGACCACACAGAAAATTTCTAGGCAATAGGTAGGGGAACTGACAAACCACCTGCTTCTTTGGATCACAAAAAAGTAACTTGGTCTAGTACCAAACTTGAGGAGCTGGCTTAGCACCAAAGGATCAGTGCTACCCTACCACTCTGTCTGGGAAGCTGAGCTCTGGGCAAAGAGTAAGGGATCCAGGGTGGGATCTTTTAACTACTGGGGCTTAATGAATGCGACAGGGAAAGAGCTTTTAAGGAGGGCTGCTCAGTTAGAGAGTTTATCAAGTTTATACCTGGTCTTAACAACCCTAGAGTAGTCTAGTTTTGTTACTACCTTCTTAAAACGTCCCTTATGAATATACAGTAATGAGTAGTTTTGCTCATTCCACCTCTATACAAATGGCTGAAATCTAGCTGCCCTTCAGAGAAGGCATTATACTTACCATTTGTAAGTCTGTCAGTATCTTCTAAGTGAGATGTGAATGAGGGGAAATTCTCCCCCCTCTATCCTTTTAACCGGCATGACAGGGCTGCATGCGTTGACCTCAAGTACCTGAACTGAAGGTCTGAAATCGGTAAGGTTGGGAGAGGTGTATAGGATGAGCATCAGAGCACTATGATAAAAAAAAAAAAGTGCTTTTAAAGGTACCTCAATGATCAGTGAGCAACTGGACACGTAGAACAATAGGCAAATGAGTGGCAACGTTTGAAAGAAGATCTGTGACCTACCACAGACAATGGGGTAAAGGTGCATCAGAAACTCATTTTTCAGTAGTTCTTGGTGGCTGCCAAGGACAGAATGCTAAGAAACCAGTCTTCACGATCCCATCTACCCTGAGCAATAAAACACCCACCCTTAATTTAACAGGAGTCAGCTCCTGAGGCATAAACAGGCAGCTGAAGCACCGCGCGTAGGCTGACTTCAGTGCTGGATGCCGAGCAGCGCTTGGCACAGGTGAAGAGGTTTTCATCACAGACCTAAATTAACTTCGGTGAAGTTACTCCGTGTCTGCCAGCGGCGGAGGAACAATCTTCGAGTGGGAGAAGCGTCCAGCCTGCCACCCGCCGCCCTCCCCTACCGGCGCCGCTCGGCCGAACAAAGGCGGCAGCGGCGGGTCCCCTTTGTGCGGCGCGGGCAGGAGAAGGGGCGATCCCGCCCGCTCGGAGCTCCCCGCCCCGGGCTCCCCGCCCCGCCAGCCCGGCCCGGCGGCGGACGGGAGGAAGAGCCGGCTGCGCGGCGGGCGGGCGGGCGGCTGCGAGCGGCTCGGTCCGGCCCCCGCGCCCCGTTCCCGCCCCTCCACCGCCGATCCTCCGCCCCCTCCGCCTCCTCCTCGCGGCGGCGGCGGCGGCTTTCTCGGCCCCGGCTCCTCGCGCTTCTCCGCGGCTTCGCCTCGCTTCTCTCCGGGAGGCTCCCGCGCCGCGCTGGCCAGGACGGTGAGTGCGGCGTCGGCCCGGGGCTGAGCGCGGCGCCGTCCCGCAGCGGTGCCCCCGCTGGCCGGGGGCGGCCCCGGGGAGCGGGGGCGGGCGGGACCCCCACTACCACCCCCGGCGGGCGTCTGGCGAAGGGGCTGCGGCGCGGGCGGAGGTGCGGTGCTGGCGGCGCCGTGCTGCCCCTGGGACGGGCGGGGGGCTCGCCCCCTCCGGGCGCTGCGGCAGGAGCCGCCCAGCCCAGCCCAGCCCTGCCTCGCCGCCGGGGGTCGGCGGGCGGGCAGCTCCCTCCGGGGACGGAGAGCAGCCCCGTGGGGTGGGTGTCGCGGGTGGGTGCCTCGCCAGCCGGGCCGGCTTCTCCCCTGCCTCCGGGGGAGGCGGCTCCGACCCCCAGCTGGCGAGCGGGTCCGCGGCAGAGCGGGTAGAGCGGTTTGGCTCCTCTGAAACGCCTCGCTAATGTCAGGGGAAAACATATGGCCCAGGAGAAAGCCGCTGGAAGCGATAGCTGTTGAACTCCTCCGAGTTATTTGCCCCGGTCGGTGCGAAGTGAGAACTTCCTCCCGGGATGCCCTTTCGGGGGATGCGGGGCTGAGCACATGGCTGCCTCCCCTGGGTCTGCCCCGCATCTGTCACAGCACCGCCTGCCACGGGGCCTGCCGGCGCCTGCTCTCCTTTCAGAGTACTAATCTGACCTCAAGAAAACTTTTAACTGGGCGAGGGGAGGAGGCTGATCCAAAGGTAATATACTTAAACATGTTGGGGGTTTTTTCCTTCTCTTCTTCCTTCCCTCTCTCAGACAAGACATCTGTGAAAAGGAGGAAAAGAATGGAATTGTGTCCAAGGGTCCAGTGTATATGGCAGTTCATAGTGCAGAGAGGAAGGTTAAAACTTTCAAAGACCTGGCACTGGCAAATTAACATCTCCGGTGAATCATAGCATTAATTTCTTTAAACTTGAATTTTATGGTCATTTGCATGTTGATCCTTGCTTGTGTTTGAAGTCTGCAGATACTGTGTTCAGATATTTAAGGATGAAATGTCTCAGTTGTGTTTGAAATGACAATGTCATTGTGTTTTGTAAGCAGCAAGACAGCTTTTATCTTTAATGTAGACCATTTTATCACTCAGCTGTAAATACTTGCTCTGTTTGTAAATCTGCCACTGATTTCTTGGTTGGCTTTGCAAAGGTCACTTTAGTTTATCAAATGCAGGCATTTTTTTTGGAAAATACCTGTATTGATTTAATATGGTAGTGGGTCAAACTTGGCATTTATCATTTATTTCACATTTGTACTAATGTGCCATATTAGCCAGGCTTTATAAAGTAACTATTTCTTGGTTCTGCGTGTAAAGCCTACTGGCAGATCTTGGTGTGTGGTGTTCAGGAGGTGCACAGCTTGGCTTGTGTCTGATGTTAAGTGTCCTACTTATTTAAAAATGTTGGGAGCTCTAAAAAGGTCAGTGTAATCCATACCACACGTGTGCTCAACTGACCTAGAATTAACAAGATAAAGCACTTTTAAGTGTTTCTGGAGTAAAAGTAGGGTGTTACTTCCTTGTAACTTGGTTTTTCAAAGCATCCAGTGCTATGCTCCCAGATTTGAAGGGTGGCAGAACACCCACCCTGCTGCTGCAAAGGCTTGACTTAAGCTGGTGAGACGGGTCATGAGAGCAGAAGGCACCAGCAGCGTGAAGGTGCTCCCCGGAGAGATGAACATGATGGTGACGGTGGCCAAGGGAGGTGGGTGCAGACACCACCATCAGGGACAGCGGGCAGCCCTTGCCATGGTGTGGGGCTGTTGGAGCTGACGAGCTGTGTGCCCTTTCAGGGCCCTTATTTTATGTGGGTTAGTAACTTGGCATGTCAGTTGATATTTCATGCTGCAGCACTGAGTTTCCCCTCTGGGTTTCAGGAGGCAGCAGGCAGGTGCCTGTGCACCGCGGTGGAGATGCAGGCATACCAGGAATGTGGTGGTTCGTGTGATTTACTGCCTCAATGCCTTGCACTTGCCTGTGCCAGCAAGTTCACTCTGTTGCACAGAAGGCCCAGACTGCCTTCATGCCAGTGCATCCATGTTAAGAAAACCATGTCACAAGCTGAAGTTAAGAGGGCAGCAGTGTTTCCCAGATTCATGTGGAGACCATTCACTGTCACTTTGCTAGAGAAGTTCATGTGTCGGGCTGTAGCACTTGGCCAAAAGCACCCTCCTTCCCTGCTCCTCATAGGCTTGTGGTGGAGGCATGCTGGAGATCTCAAATTGTTACTGGAGGCACTGGATAGGAGATGGTTTTCTGTTAAAGGTTCATGCTGTGCTTCAAAATCTGGAGGGCTAAGTTTGATTTAGTGAGGCAAAACTCAGTCAAATTATAGAATGTAGCCTTGCAAACCTGTTATAGTTGCTCAGAGCTACAGAGCAGCTTTTAGATACTGTGCTAGTGTATAAAGGGAAGGTGTTTCTCAAATGTGCTTTTGTAAGTACATTTCCCAGTGCTGAGTAAGTTGGAAGTCAGTACGCTGGATTATCATAGGGTACATTTTGGCCATTAATTGTGATGGAACGTAGAGTAAATGAAGGGTCATGTTTACAGCCTGCCCAGAACCAGAGGGTATATCTTTAAATTCTGTAACATCTCTGGTCTCTCACTGGCTGACAATGTTTCTTGCTTTCCACTGCTAGATTAGAGCTCCTAATTTTGAATTAAACTGAAGGTTAAGTATATGTCAGCTGCAAAGTGTTTTTATTTCAAGGAAGTTTCATTTTAGCAGGGCACGTTCTGAGAAGTTAAAAAACTAGTTTGTTTGATTTGTCCACAGGGTTGAAGACCTGTAGGAGTTGGAGGTTTAAATAAAATTTAAAAAAAAAGAAAAAAGAAAAGGCTTGGACTGTCTTAGTGGAAGGTACAACGACTGCTTGGAAACTGCATTTTAAGGAGGAGAGAAAGCTTGCCAAGAAGGGCTGTGGACCTTGCTGTGAGAGTAAGATACTGCAAGTTACCAGAAAACCTAAAAGGAATGAAGTGAAGGAGTAGATTGATTGTTGGAGAGCAGAAACTGCAGGAATAGTATGTGAATTGCCAAAAGCTAGAGGATGAAGAAATTTAAGATGAAGAGGGAAAAATAATAAAAGGAAGAGGAGAAGAGAACTTGGCTATGGTGTTGTGAGGACCAGGCTGTAGTTGAAAAATGTATCTGCTGCACCTAAAATTAGCAACTGTAACCAGTTTTAGATAAGGATAAAGATTTGAACAGGGAAGAAAGATAGGGTAGAAATAAAAAATCCATGGAAATGACCAGAATAAACATCTTACCCCTGCTTCCAGAATCCAGACTAAGTCAGCAAGCGGTCTCTGTTTTGGGAGTCTGAGAGTGTTGGCACAGAACACTGGAGCCAGGTTAAAAAAAACCCTCAGGATTGGTTGTTGTCTGTCAGGTTGAATGTAGCAGTAGAGATAGTAATATAGCAAAAAACATATACTTCTGTTTATTTTAAAAGGAGAAGAGAACAAAATCTTTACACCTTTTACTCTGGTCTCAATAGTATTCAAGGATTTAGAACAAATTTGGAACAGAAAAAGTAATTAAGTATACAAAGATAAGTGGAAAACAGGATAAAATGCATCATGGATTTGCCACAATTAGGTCATGGAAGACTAAAATCTTATTATTACTGGTTAAATACTGAATGTTGTAGACAAAAGGAGCAGAAAGCTTCAGTTCTATGTGTACACACCATGGCGGGCGTGACACCGAAAATAACTAAACTGGAAATGCGAGGCTTGGCTGAAGAATGGTGAGGTGTCTCCTGAAGGAGAAATTGTGACTCTGGATGAATAAAGGAATTACTGATCTAGATCAGTATTACTGGGGAGCTGGTCTCTTTACTTCACCATACTGGCTGAGATAACTGTATGAAAAGGATAACTGCTGATGAGGCTAAGTTAGGAAACCTAGTCAGCACTGAGGTGAGTTGGATTACTGCACAGGAAGAATTGAATGTCTGTGATGACTGAAGCAATAGGAATGACAGAAGTTAAATAGCTCTAAAAGCAAAGTTATCTACTGAATGATTATTAACAACAAGTTTACTATCAGCTGGCAGGTCATCCCTTAAAACAGGAGTGGAGGAAAAGGCCTGACTGCCACAGTCAAACAGGGGTACTCTTATGTGATATACTGTGTGTGAAATGGAAGCAAATGTGATCCTCAGTGAGAGCTCTTCGGTGGAGATAGACAAGGTATTAGGGAGACTTCATGTCAAATACTGTACATAGTTCTGGGCACTTATGTACAGAAAATATTAAATTCTAGTGGAACATGTACAGGAACATTCAAGTTACAAAGATGATGCGGTGTGAAAAGTCTGGAGTTACATGAGAGACCAAGACTTAAGGTACTCTGGCTTTTGTGGCTTAATAATGGCAGAGATGGGAGATAGCAACTGCTTATAAATTCCCTGGGGCAGATTTTTGGAGAAGAGGAAGGGTCATAAACTGAAGGTTTGTTCTGTGATTTTGGTTTAAAAACTTGATGTACAGAAGGATGATGTGATGGCTTGCTGAATGAATGTTAGAATAATGTACATGAGGAATTCAAAAGGAATTTCCTAACTGTCAGATTTTAGATGCCCTGCTAGCTGTAGGTCTCCTAAGTACCAGCTAAGTGTTGAAGTTTGCATGTGACTGTTAATGAATTGAGCAGTTCAGGTTACTGAAGCTACCATATTTTATGCTTTGATGTTCACATGTAATCAAAAGAAATAGAAATCACTTCAGTAAAGGAAGTGCGATGAGCAGAAGCACTTATTTGTGGGAAGTGCGTGTTGTCCAGTCACTTCATGGTGAATGGAATTTATAACAAGTGAAAACACTCATCTATGACAGTAGTAGCTGCTGCTTTTTCTTCTCCTTTTAGTGCATAATGGAGTAGAATCAAGCTCAATTCATAAAATATTAAAGATGACCACAAATTAATATGTGTGGGACAGAAAATGCATGAATGGATGTGCAGGCTGGGGGTCAGGTTGGCTGACTTGAACCTATAAATAAATAAAAGGATTGTGCTCTCCTGTTGAGTGTGTGCCCATATTTATCCTCTGTCTGATTTCATGCTCCCTGGTTTTAGGAGTGTTTCATGGCCCTGGCTGCATCCTCTTGTTGAGGACTGTGCTCCTGGGAGTAGGAGTAGGGAGACGTTTCCTTTGGGGGGGGGACTTGGGCAGAGCCTTGTTCAGTAGAGGAAGTGCAGGGCTGTTGAAGACCCGAGGTGGGGGCTCCCAGCTGGAAGAGTGTGTGCTTCTCTGTGGCGTCATTTTGCAGGTGAGTACCTGACCCAGGTGCTGGGGCTGAGCTATACAAAGGCCAACACAACCTAACTGTTGGGAAGAAATTGAAGTATGAGCTGCTCCAGTTGAGACACTTTCTCGAGCATTGCTCTTGAAGATGTGACTGGTACACAGCAAAGAGTCATGTGCCCCAAAGAAATGTGGTTTGAAGGCTACGCCATGTTGACTTAGTTTGACCTTTGCTACAGCATCAGAGACTATAAGTTCTCCTGTAGCAGATCTTTGTATGCCCAGTGAAACTTCTAGAAGTTTCAAGATGACTCTTCAAAAAGAAAGAAGAATATATGATATCTGTATGGATGTATTTTGAGAAGAACCATTGAAAAAAATAAGGTGCTTTGAGTGTGTTTGTACAGCAAAGAAAGATCAGTGTCTTGGTACTGCTTTATGTCTGTTT